CCCCCCCCCCCCCCCCCCCCGCCGCCGGGTGTCCCCCGTCCTACCCGCGCTCAGTCCCGCACCGCCGACCGACCCCCATCCCATCCTGCACCCCTAGTCCATCCCAGCCGTGCCCCGCAGCCCATCCCGGCCGTACCCCTCACGCCGCTGTTCTGTCCCAGCCCCATCGCTCCTGCTCCCGCGCCACACCGCGCACGCGCAGCTCCTCCCGAAGATGGCGGCGGGGAGGGGAGAGGAGGAGGGAGGGGAGAAGGGGGTGTGGGCCGGTACCTCCCGAGCTTGCGTGTCGATGTGAGAACGCTTATTGGAGCTCTGTGCCTGATTAGGGACTTGCCGGTGTGGGAACTAGTTTATGGTTGGGCTCTCTCGTAGAAGTCTCTTCCAACCTTCGTGATTCTGTGACCTGCTCAAAAAAAACCCCTATGCCTTTTCAGCCGCGTGTGAGACTAATAATTCTCCGTTGTTCAGTGATTTTCTACCGGCCTTTACGATGTAAGTTTCTGTTAAGGCAGTGTCGTGGTTTTGCTTTGGGTCAATTTGCTTTCCACCCCCCACACAATTACTACTAGTTGAGAGAAGGTTTTTTGCAGACAAAAGAGAGACAGGATTTGGGGAAAACAGTATAAACATTTATTACTAGTAAAACAAAAACTGCTAATAAATTAAAAACTAAACTATATCTACAACAATTTCTACTCAAGTTGAAGTGCTATATATATACAGAAATACTTCTTCTTCTTTTATACTAGTCCAAGGAGAAGAAGTAGTCTCATTCTCTATTTTCGGAGTTTCAGCTCTCTCTCTCTCTCTCTTTCTCTCTCTAGTAGCAGCAGTATTTTCAGTAGCAGCAGTATTCTCGTTGCAGCTGGAACTTTCTCGCTCTGTGTTGGCTTCCAGGGCTGGACTTACCCCCCTCCTGGGCTAAGACTGAAGGCTGGAGGTTACTCAGGTCCCGAAGGGTCTTCCTTCCATAGGCTTGCAAGGGGACACTTGCTTAATTATGGATCTTCTTCCACAGGGTTAGAGGGGATAATGGCTTAAGAGTTCACCCCTGTTTCCCTATGGAGGTCCCTCCCCATGGGAGAACAGTCCTCGATAGACTTTTTGGCATGGGTCTAGCACGGATCCCACACACGCACGGATTCCAGCATCTCACATGGGCCGTCTCGCTCCAGCATGAGATTTCTCAGGGTCACAAAATCTTCAACAGCAGTATGGATCCACACACACACAGATCCCAGTATCCCACCTGAGTCATCACTGCTCCAGCACAGGTTTCCCTCAGGGTCACAAATCTCCACCAGGACTCTGCCTCACTTCAGTCCTTCTCATGAAGTCTCGGTTCTCTTTGGTACATCCACAGACTCCTCTATCAGCCGTATGGGGGGGTCTTCTTACTCCAACAAATTTTTACAAGTAGCAGGGATTACTTTTCAGTCTTTTCCCTGCTGAGGAGAGAGAGCAAAAAAGGGGGGGAGGGAACAAGCCTCCCCCTTTTGCACTTTACTTTTCTTGCTGCAGTTTCAGCTGCCAGCTTCGACCTTGGAAGCTCCATTATCTTTCGGCTGGAATTCTTCCACAGCGGTTTCTGTCCAAGCAGTTCGTCTAAATTTTAAACTTTTTTTTCTTCACTCTCTTACAAGAGAGAAGGGAGGACTTCAGTGCTGCACCTGCTCCCCCCACTCCGGCCCAAGCCAGGGGAGGAGGGAGTCTGGCCCTGCTTGGGCCCGCTACTCTTCTCTCCTACATGGCTGCTGCCCCTAATTCCGACTGCGCCAACAACCTTTTCTTCCGTTTTCTTGAAGATGGAATTAGCAAAGGCGTTACTGGACTTTTGATTGGCCTTTTTGTCTGGAAATTACCTGGACAAAACCATCCTCAGCCCCAGGGATGGGCTGGTAGGCAAAACCACGACAGGCAGTTGTGGAATAAACAAGCTTTTAAATACTTTACTTAAAGTAGTGGTAATGTAAGTATCCGGTTTTCTATAAGAGGTGCTGAACAAAGGCGCCCTATAACCACCCGTAAATACGCTCCTCAAC